AGGAACAGAACGGGAAAAAATTTATACACACACAGGGTACTATATGGGGATTTGAACCCAGAACCACTTAGGAGCACACCAAAAACTTAGGCCAATTCAAAACTAACACACAAAGAGAAAGTGGTTAGGTGTCAAATATAATAAATATTTTTCTGTACTTTTCTACCCTTTGTCGACACGAGTTTTCCATCCATCCATGTAGCTAGGATGTGTAACATTACGAATCACCACATTTTAAATATTACATATAAGGTTAGGATCGGGGGACACACATTTTTGACACATTATTACACACATTGTAAAGCACATTCAATGGTTGTGATAATGTTTTGTATTCTTTCTCCTCTCTTCTTTCTAAACTGAATTCACTTTATACTAGCTTCTTCTTGAATTTCATTTTTCAACATACAAATCTGCTTATGCTTACCAAATTGTTTGGGCTCTACATAAATTCATATGATGAGCATGTACTCCATCCAATTAGCAAGGAAAATGCGCATATAAAGAAAAAGAAGAGGAAGTCAAAGAGAACGTTTGCAGTACAAGCTTAGTGAAATGCAATTTTAGCATTAGAAGAAGCCCAAGAGAATCCCATCATCTGTGACCTAATCTTTTGTCGCTGGAGAGAATATCTAGCTTTGCAGTGTCCAGTGCACAGAATCATTTCCTGCAAGGCCTTTCCATGCTTCAGCAAGAACTTTGCTAGACTCACTTCATTCTCACACTCTAAAAATCCCTGGATCTTTACTACCGTAAGGTTTTGTAAAAACGACTTCAAGGCTTGCGTTTGCGATTCCCAGAATTTTTCTTCCTCAGAATTGGACATTTCCCACAAATCCTTATTCCATTGCTGATATAGTTATGCATCAAAATGAGAAACCAAATTAGTTAGCTGTTGAAATTGATACTAATCAGTCAGTTTACGTGTAGATTAAGAATACAATGAATGTATTAACCAAATTAATCTCAGTTATAATACTTACTCTCCTTTCAATCTTGTAATCGTTAATAATATTGAGGGTCAGAGTGTGAAGCATGGGAGAGCTCCTGAATATGCACGCCAATCCAGGGACATTGTTCTTGTTGAAACCCGTATGCAACTCCAAAGACTTGAGATTGTTGAATGGATGCAGATAAACCGCAAAATAATTACTGTTTGACAGAATCTGCAACAACAAAAAGCTATACAGATAAGTCGTGCTCATCACTGAAATGTTACATATACATAAGAGTGACCAGACAAAATTAATGACAATACTCTCTTGTCAAACTATGAATCGAAATCACGTATTCAGATAAAAATTTAACATGATCAATGGTTCAAATTCATAGTTCAGCAGCATAACAAGTAGATTAAATTTCTTTTGCTAGGCCGTGTATCTCAATACATTACTTAAATTAACCTGATCAATGGTTCATATTACTTAAATTGAAGTACCTCAATACATTGGGTATCGAGTGTCAAGCAATGGGCATGATAGAGTCCCATAAAAAGGTTGGACACACTCTGAAGCTTCGCCACACTAATATCTTCCTGGAGCAAAAAGAAACCAATGGAGGCCTCTTGCAGAGAGCTCAAATTGTCCAGAGAAGAGCTATCAGTAATAGCATTGTTTTCCCAAAGAATAATTCTAAGTCTTGGACCATCAATCTTCACCCAACTCTTATCAGCGTACGCATCAAAACACCTCACAATTCTCAACCTCTCCAATTTCCCACCCAAAACATCCAACCCTTGTAACTGAAAGCAGTTCTCCAGGGTCAAATCCTCAAGCGCCTTGCACCCAATCCGAAGGTACTTCAACCCAAAACAAGCGTCCAGGCTCAGTTTCTTGAGCATAGGGAAAGCAGACGCTCCGAACATGTCGCAGAGAGAAGGCTGGTTGTATAAGACAATGCGTGAAAGCGACAACAAGTGGAGGGATTTGAATCCGCTCGTCATCACAGATGAAGGGGGCAATCTGAAACCTGGGTAGTGCGATTTCAACTTGAAAATGCGGAGAGATTCGCTGGCGATGACGCATCTAGGGAAGTTGAAATAATCCTCTGTGGCAACCTCCACGTCCAGTTCCTGCACATTGCGCCGGATGGCCAGGCGGATCAGGCCATTGAGACGGGAGAAGCTCAACCAGGAACCAAACCGAAGGATTCGAATATCAGAGTGCTTATCGCGGAGAGTCAGGACTTGCCTGATGAAGTCTGTTTCTTTGGAATTCTGAGAGAGCGATTTTGATGAAGAAGAATGTGGCTTTGTTGGGGCTCGAGTGAGGGTGGTAAAGTCGAGGTCCGGGAATGAGGACCAGATAGAACGCCACCGTTTTGATAAGACGCTGGTTTGGGCGACGGTTTTGACGGGTAGGAGGAAGAGGATGTGGTGGAGAACGGCATCTGGGAGGTCACTGATGCGGTCAATGCTTCGGCTTCTGTTGCTCTTCTCGCTTTCGTCATCGTCGTCAACTTGATCCTTCTGGTTGTATAAAATGAGGAGCTTTCTTTTCTTGGCAGCGGATCTTGTTTCCATTGTGATGATTTTGTTGGGGTTTGATCTGGTTTTTACTGGTCTTTGGGTTGAGAGATTGAGTTACGTACTTTAGGGGTTTGAATGGTTCAAAGGTTGAAGTGAGGTGAGAACGGGAACAGCGTTTGAGTTTGTTTCCAAGTACGATTGCAGTATTTTTAATTAATTTTGATAAATTTTTAATCCAAGCTAATGATAATTCTACCTTATGGTTAGTTAGTTAATCATAAAAAATAATTGAAAAATAATTATTGATAAGGCCCAATTTTCAATTTTGGTTGAAATTAATATGGGATATATACTTGGCCTCTTTATTGATTATTGCTTAAAAACGCCTACCTGCATATAAGATACCAAGTAAGCTCATCGTCGCATTGTCATGTGATGCTTTGAGCTCGAATTAGTCCAAAAAGAAACCAACACAGTTGCATTAATAAAAATAAGCTTGTCCAATTTTCACATTTGATCACAAATACATGGCACCTAAAGTGCAAACTAATAATAAATATACATTCCCCTCAAGGCAGAACATCAGAACTTAACCATTAGAATAACCATACGATTTCAACATCCTCCGATGCCCGCGGCAGTTCCTCTATTATCTTGAATTTAGCCTGCCATCCAGGTTGATTTTGTTGATAGGCTTCCCAGTTCTGCGGACAAATGTTCATTTCTTGCAAGCCTATTCCATGTTTGAGTAAAAACCTAGCAACACTTATCACAGTCTCATCTATGCCTGTAACAACGGAAAAGTCCACCTTCTTAATGTGACAAAGGAAGGAGTTCAAAGTTTGAGCTTGAGATTCCCAGAATTGCTCTTCACTCCAGAGGGCATTGTCCAACAAGATGTCGTTCCATTTCTGAAATCTAATTTTATAATATGTTGTAAGCCGGATATATTTTAAGAGTAAATGTGCGTAGCGTCAAGCCAGTGATTACAAGAGTGGCATTTGTTGGAAGTGTAAAAAATCAAAAAACGTAGAATTATGCCGAAGGTTAACTTACATCATCCTGTGGTCTATGAATAGGACTTATCACAATTTTGAGCCTTTCGACTACGGGAGAGCTCTTGAATAAGCATGCTATACCCGGGAAATCCGATTTTCTCAAACCAGCAGTAATAATTTCCAAAGTCTTGAGGTTCACAAATGAAAATGGTAGACCACCTTTGAAATATATTTTCGATAAAATCTGCATACATAATTTATACGCTACGTAAATCCACAAAACAGATTTATATACAGGTACATATATACAGATAAACAAGGCAGATACTAATTTTTTTTCCAACAAATATTTGGAATTACGATAGCTGGCAGAAAATATGCTATAAGTACATTTTGTTACTCATCTATTGTTAAAGCATCCAAGATAGCTATCAAAATGATCATGTCTCCAAACAAGTAGATAAGAAAATAGAATATTTAAACTGACCTCAAGAATCTGAAAGGATGTAACACCCCGACTCCAATTATTTTCCTATTTTTATTTAAATTAAGAGAAATTATTAAGGGAATTTCACTAAAACACCCAAAATAGAGGTTGAAATTATAAAAAAACCCAACACCCAAAACACTTTATAAACACACCCAAAACTCATCATTACACACACTCAAAACTCATTTATAAATTATTAATTTACTCTTGGGTTAAGGGTAATTTTGGTCATTTTCTGATCCGGGAAGATTTTGGGACCACGAGTGATTTGGTTGCGTAGGTGGTACTGAGACGAAACCATAGACAGGCGGTAGGCTTGAATCGGAGATTTAATGAAGTTTTGGGGATCAAAA